CGAGCAAGGGAATGTTCTCCACAGACCCTATGCACATGCGCAGACGGACAGACAGACAGATGAATGTACGGGCATGTGTATGTGTATTCCGAATTTGTATACTTTATGGGGTTTTTGAACCTTGTTCTTGTGAGTTTTGAAAAAAGAAGAAGTTTTGACGCACTATAAAATTAAGGCGAGGCCAATTTTTGCATTTTTCTGAAGGTAGTATAGCATTACCCACAGAATATACGATGTATGTTTATCTGGTATAGGTGAGTAGTGATCAAAACACCATTTTTTTATTATTGAGGTGTCCTTACTTTACGTAATAATGTAGACGTGTCCTTCGACCAATTTTCAATATCAACCTGCGTGCAAGAACTTCCAATGTTTGTGCCTAATTTGAATTATGCCAGGACGGTGTTTACAAGTGACAGAAATTACACAGACGGGCCGACCGACATGCTTAAATCGATTTAGAATTTGAATTTGATCAAGAATGTATATACTTTATGGGGTATCTGAAGCTTCCTGTTGGAAACGTCTTGACGAAATAAATACACGTCTTCAATGATGGGTATACAAATGCAACGACGGTTTGTTTCACGTACTCTATTTTGATGCTTTTGGGGCAACATCGGTAAGAAAATTTGGTAAACAGTATCATATATTTTAGGCGCGTTTATGTTATGGACAGCTTTCACTCGCAATGGCATTGTTTCGTAACTGTATGTAATTAATTTTTTTAAAACTATTGGAGTCAGTTGAAAAACATGCGACAAAGTCAATGCCTTAAGATCGTTGATCGCTATCAAACCATTAACAACAGCATAGTCATCTTCTAACATGAAAATATCTTGCAGAACATAGTTGACAGCTATCGCTTCTTCCACACTATACATTTCCGGTAAAGAGGTACGTACGTAAAGTATACGCAGACCATTATCATGTAGAGGGTTCGGTAAAGGTAGAAATAAACTGGAAGAAAGAATATGTAATACTTTGAGCATTTTACTCAATTCCCTTAATTACCCCAAGCGAAATACATCCCGAAATCTCGTGTTAGAAACGTCAGTAATATTAAACGGCACAG